AATATAACCCTGAACATTTATGGAATGCCTGCATAATGAAAGTTAGATAACTAAGTAATACAACTTCTAACACGCAAGTAAGTCCATGTGGTTTGTTTTGTCCACGAGAAATAAAATACAACGTTAAAAATATTTTTTCTTGTTCTAGTCTCATTAACAGACTGAGTATGCCATTAAAGTTGTGTATTTAGTTAGATACCTACATATAAAATACTAGTTTACACACCGACAAAAAATCTAATCACAATAAAATAACATATCATTATTAATGTAGTCATTTTAAACCTTGATTTTGTGACTCTCTTTATAGTACGGTTTTTAATTAATTGTCATAGTGAAGACTAAAATCCTCTCTTTCAAGTGCGTTTTGAGACTAAGTTACCTATATTGTTAATTGCATTGGTTTATTCTTCTAATAAGAACACATATAAGTTGTTTTATAAAACTCTAAACTTTAATTTTCCAAATATTACACGATTTTCCCCGCCGAGTTGACCGTCGCGGCGTCGGTTATAATGGTTGCTCCCTAATCGGCATGCAATGGTGACTGCAATGTGCTGCATCTGGCATTAGCTAGAACATTAAGGTGCATTATAAATGTCCGGTGAATAGTTCAGGGAAAATTAACCTCAGTATAAACGCTATAAGACTCAATTTTGAACACGTAAATAGTGGGAATGACAAGAAAATAAAATCAATTTCAAAATGCAGAATAGTTAACCGTGAAAGCTCTTCTCAGAACTGTGCACTGTACAGTGACGTGATGAGAATAGGCATTGCAGTATTATTTTCCTACTCATTAATTTCGATTTATGTCATGTAGGTACCTATTGGCTTTTGTTTGTGTGGGGACGGCTTGTGCTTTGCTTATCTATATATTTACTTGAACAGTATCTTTCTGTATAAGGCATCTTGGAATTTGTTTATTATGCCTATTAACATTAATGCTAAGTAGTTTTGCAAATGTAAGTCATTAACGTTCATAACTATAATATTGAATAAGGCACTGTATAGGATTTTAAGTGAAGCTCTGTGTGTCTGTGTGGTGACGGATTAAGAATACGGAGTGTCATACCATGGGTGCCGTAAGAGCCGATTAAGTGAGCAAACTAAGCAGGACAACAGCACTGCAAAGAGAAGGAACTTCAAATAAACAATATACCAGCCCGTCTGGCCATCGTGGTATAGTAGGCCAAAACCTCCTTTTTAAGGAGAGGCCTACATCCAGCAACGGACAATTTATTATATCGCCGCCCATGAACGTCTGCAACTCGGGAGTCACAAACACGTTGCAGGCCTTTTAGGAAGGAGTATGCTCTTTTCTTGAAGGTCGTACCGATCCGGAAATACTTTCGACTCTCGATAGCTCTTTTAAGGGACCTGGAGACAAAGTTATATTGTTTTTTAGCGTGCTGGTATTTACATCGCCTACCGTCGCTGCATTTGCCCATGCTTGGTAGCATTCCCGCTTTTGGCGATCCGCTTTTTTGCAGGATCTGTCAAACCAGGGCTTGGATTTGCCGTATCTCGCATGGGCTTTGATACCAGTTGTGACAAGCCATAGGTCAGGGCTCAATCGAGAACAGACCGCGTGATCGGTTCTGCGTGAGCCAAGCCTTTCGACGTTGTGAGCGTTGAAGTCACTAAGTATCACGGTCTCTGCGGATGGGATCTGCTGCAGCAAGGAATCTGTAGCCATTTCTGGTCCATCAGTCGGTCAGTTTCGGTGTCACCGCTATGGGACCTGTAGAGGCATGCATAGACGCGGGAATGGTCGTCGCTGTCTACACGGAGCGACAAGATGGAAACGTCCCGTCCATCAAGATTGCTGCTGAGAACTGATAACACCTCTAACGCTAGGTTGTCTAGGTAGGTTGGGAGGCTAGGTGTAACGGTAGGTTAGTTGCTAACAACAAAGGAGTGTCCCAGATGATAGCTGGGGTAGGAGAAGTAGGATGTGTCCGATGGTGATGATATTTGCGTCTCGGTAAAAAAGAGCAAGGCCGGCTTCATTGTCACGAGGTGGTGGTGGTAGACAGCGCTGAGGTTGGAGTGAAGACCCCTTATATTGCAGAAATTCACGTCAAGCGTAGCGAGGGGTGGCCTGATGTGGTCCAGAGGGGGAATCTCCAACGCTAGCGCAGCTGGTGGTATACCCTTACTTATTAAAGGCTGGTGATCTGTAGAGATGAGGTATACGAGTCAAGTGGCTTTAAAGCAAAGAATTGCTAAGCCCAGATCTATACTTGACGTGAGGAAATAATGGAATCGTCGTATTTTTTAATACGAGTAATAAGGTAACATGAATCTGTTACATGAGACGCTTTTAGTAACAGTTGTAAACTTTCGTAAGGAAAATTTCACCAAAAAAAAACAATGTTAGTAGTTTTTGTGATGTTATCTGTATTTCCAGTCTTCTCCTTCATGAAAGAAACCAAGTAGATAATATATAATTTACCCAAAACAATTAAGGTCCTTATAATTTTAAGCATAACCCAATGCTTTGTACCTTAAAACATAGAAACTAAAACATAAAAGTAGTGGTATTTTGTTAAGATGAGTTTTAAAAGTTGCAACTAGTTTTGCATATTGCAACAATTGAATCCCAGACTACGAGTAAGTGTTAGACCAGAGTAACATTCCGATCTACTAACTAGACCATTTCAAGAAAGGTCTCTTTAAAAAATTCTTATACAGGTCATACTATCTTACTGTTTGCAAATTCATTGGATAAAACAGACCCTTTAAAACTGTGACTAAATCTGTGGCGAAAACACACAGGTGGTCTATAAACAGCAGGTCGGAAGGCACAACCCGTTACTCCATTGCTCGTATTCGTGTATAACGGGAAGGTTTGCTTTCCTAAATACGCAACCACGTAACTTCTTTAAGTTGAGCTACAAACGCATTCCAATTATAAGATTTGTAAAATGTCAAAGTGCACGACTAACTCTGACGTCTTTATCAGTATAGAGCATAAGCGTTTAGCATTACCAGATACACTACGGTATTTCTTTATCTGTCGTTTGTCAACTTGTACGCGTTGAGTTGGAACATATCCTATAACGCCGACACTTAAATCAATGATCTAATTAATAATAGTATTAGCCACATTGAAGAGAAACGTTATGTCTTTCTATGTTTCTCGGGAACTGTGACGACATTTCTACGAAACAAATGAGTCAGCTACAAACTACGATTGACCAGTTGTGTAGATCGCGGTTTGAATTCTTTTTTACATTGATATTACTCATCGAGACAAACCAAGCTTCGCGACTGGTAAGCATTCATTACCATGTCAAACGTAACGATTACGATATTTTTGATCACAAACATTTTATTCCCATTAACGTTCAATCTAAAAACCTAAAATTTTAACAAATGTGTTCTTTATATTTTCTTTCAAATAAAAAATTATATTTTGTTTAATTTTTATTATTTTAACTATGACGCTAAGTGTGTCCGCGTGGACTGGCCATGACATCAGACATCAGCCACGTCACTTCGCGTCATCTGATGCGAATCTCGAACAGTTTCTACGTTTGATACGTTAATCATGGCAGTGTCACACATACACAACAATAACAACAAAATTATCATTATTTTAATCTAATGTTTGAGCGAGTAATAAATTAGAATACGTATTTTAAATGGTACATGACGTTATAATTACATCAATTCTTATGTTACGCAATCCGAAGATACCTGTTGTGTGAATCATCAATAAATAATCATTCTATACAAACTGTATCTAAGACCAGTCTGTATTCTAAGTTCATTAATTTTCTATGAACTGATTAATCTGTTGTGAGCAAAAATTTTATATTAAGGTGTATTTTACTTGAATACGATAGGACTTTTAACCAAATCATTTATACTTCTTTGGTTTTGGTCAGTATCACCATAGCTAAATTAAGTAGGGCCAGATTGACAATATGCTCGTGAAACCCTGTGGTTCATTTAACAAAAAAATTAATATCTGTATGTTAAAGTTATATAAATATGAAAAAAATATTCAATTGGTTATTATTGGGCCTTTAACATCTCAATATCTAATTTGCTCTGAACATTGATTGACACATTTTCACAGGCTACCTTGCCATAACCAAACAATGTACAGCGTGACTATATCGTAGGCGGCCCATCAATATGCGTCGAGAGTGCCTCTACATTTGACAATCGTACGCGTGAGTTGAGTTTCTGATTAATAGTGCTGCCCTCTTATCGGACTATCCGATGACTCATGCATTGATATTACATTACACCGTCAATGAGTCCTTTGACCTTATTCCACGGGTTCAATAAGTGCAGGCGATTGTCCTTGTGCTGAATTCGTGGCTGTTAGTACCGTGTTCTAAGAAGAACAATAAAGCTGGCCTACGATAATAATAAAACAATCAGTAATAATTATGTGTACCTATACCACACGATTTCGAAGTTACATGATTTTATATTAGGGGACAAGGAAACGTATGTCTAAATAGGACCACCAGTACCCTTGTTTTCCTTATAAAATGATAAAATTACAAAACATATGAATAGTAATATGTTAATGCAAATAATTTACGCAGACACTTATTTATCTCCGCGTTACAGTTTGCTAAAATTCCGACATTAGTATCGTACTCGTATCATATAGATCGGTTCTGAATCCACCTTTGTGTAAAATGCGCTCTTCTCTACGATTCAGCTGGAAAATCTTCGTTAATGCTCGCAATCGAGGTAGGATTCCACAAGAAGCCTTCAATAAAGCTCTGGCAGCCCTATACGCCCAGGAACCCTGGTAGATAATATTATTACAATCTACCACCTCCAGGCGATTAGAAATTACATGTGCTTAAGAGATGATATACTTGTTTGTCCTTGTATTGCAGCCGTCATTTACTAAGAATTAGCCACAACTGATTTGCCCTATTAACAACAACATATGTTTAAAATCATTATTAATTGTATCATGCGAAAATGATCATTTCATTCAATAGACTTTTCTATTGTTACAGATACCAGAGTTTACGCTGGATGGGAACAACCGTATAAAACACAACGGCAGCGCCAAAGATCTAGCTTCTGTCATGGAAAACTTGAAAAAAGGGAGCCTTGTCTCTAGACAAAATCAAACACTTAATACCCAAGTCACCAGCTCGTCCACGCAACAGGTGAGTTGATCAAAGATTATGAATAAAACATAAATGAGCCTAATTTTAAAAAGTAGACTACCTAATTCTGCTGTCTTTCCCTTTTTCCTACTTTATTTCGTTTTGTTATTATATAGTAGGTTTAACCTAGCTTATTCTTAATTACTTTCACAACCCAAATTTACAAGGAAGTCTACGTACGCACGCAGGTATATTCAATCATTATGTTTTTGCAATCTATGTTAGCGTCATCAATGACTGATGGTAACCTTATGTAATTAGTATTTACTAAAATGTTACTTTCTCTGTTTAATATTAATAAAGGTATTATTTGATTGGTGGTGGACTTGACTCGCTAATAATAAAATACCTGACTAATTATTATATTTTGATAATACATTTTTTATTCAAATTAGTAGAAAGTGCGTTTAACTTTCTTATAAATACATTTTTAAAATTTTCAATTGTTTGTTTCTTTTAAAAAAAAATTGATCGATATGATTACATAATTATTATTAACGTGCTTTTATAAATTAATTAAAACTAAGTATTTAATAGAATAAAATGTAAACAATATTTACCTACTTACAAGCGTCAAAATATTCCTCCGCATCGTCGCCTATTGGTAGGTAACGTTCCCTGAATACTGGCAGCATTTATTTTAATGTTTTTGTAAGTTTTTAAATACTTATGATATGCTTTTTAAAACAACTGATCAGATTTGGATTCGATCAGATTTCGCGTTTCTACGTACGCAACCAAATGGACAATTTTTATTTGAATTAATGATTTGGGCTGGACAGGCGTTTGTAAGGAAGGTTCCCAAATACGTAACAGTTTTACTTTTACCGAACTGATAATAAGCGAAAATTTATTGCACACACATAATTGTATAAAGGAAACTTAAAATACATGACACTGCACAAGCAACTAAATTTACAAAATTACCCAATTATTCAATGATATGAACTGACTTCATTGAAATTGATTTGATCCCGGATCCCGGCAACCCAATCAATGGAGTCAATGTGCCAAATTCAAAACCATTTGATTAAATGATGATTTAATTAAATAGACGGTGAAATTGTGTGCTGTGTATAAAAAGATTAAGAAAAAGTGAGACAAGTGACGTATTTATTTAAGTCAAAGTATGTTTGAGTATACGGTCTTAGTTATTTTTTTAACTTTGCACTGATGTACTAATAAGTACTAATCAATTTTTTTTAAGTTATATTATTACAAAATTTCGAGTTGGTAGAAACTACCTATAAATAGGGTTTTTATTTATTTGTCATCGAATAACTTTTAGTTTAGCGTTAAACTGTTTATCGCATGAAAGCGTTTTTGTTACTATTTATTTAAGATGTTTACATTTTTACATATTTTTACATTTACTTATTCAACAGTCCTGTGCTGTGTGCATATTATTCCTTATTTTAAAAAAAGGTGTACATATTAAACACTTTTTATTTACTATGTTAATAGATACAGAATATTCATATAAAAAATATTCATTCTCAACAATCAAGTCTATTAAACTACTATTGTATAAAATAGTAGTAAATTCACATACACTACGCAACCCATCGATAAATAGTTCCATGTCATCCCGTTATAATTTAGTAATGAATATACTTGCACATTTCACTTTTTATTTATCGCTTAAGGGATAAATATCTATATTGACTGTACGTAAATGAACGCAACTTGGGCAAAACATTATTAAAGATCTAACCATGGTTAACAGAAATGATACTTATACCGTATAGTAAAAATAAGCATCTATTGGTTATGATAAATAAATATCTATCTAAATATATCTTATTGTATTAAGTCGATCTCCCACGCGTATTCGAGAATCGCACTAACGGGGATCAAAAAATCTGACTAAGTACTTACGAGGTTCAAGGGCGTAATTTGCTGCATCTCGAACACCCACACACATTGAATCACTTTTTCGCTAAGTCGTTTAATAATAAAACTGTATTGTAATTAATATTTATTATTTAGTAAATTATCAAAGTTTTGTCATTTGTGTTGTATAACAGCAAAGTATATGTGTGTGTATTTTTCTGATAAAGCAGCATATATTTTTTACTCCATACTATACATATAACTTGCGTAAAATGATCACTAATCCAAGTTTTTATATCACAGTGTTGGAATACTAACGCACAGCATTTAATGAAACACAGTATTTATCAATACCTAACTGTCAATAAGTGGTAGATTCGTCATTCCTACAATTTTAAAATACCTACCACTGTTATTTCTGTATTTCTATTTTGTACAGCCCTGGCTTTATTTACTTCGTGTAGGTGCGCCAAGACGCGTGACGCCCAAACTAACAATCTTCTATAACATTGGCACTGAACTCCTCTGCAGACTTAAGTCTAGATAACGTTATACGTACGTACTTCTACATAGTAAACGTTTCCAAACGTGATAAATAAATACTGTAGTAAAGAGTAAATCTTGTAACTGAACAGTGGTTAATAATTAAATTTATAATTTTAATCTAATTTTTTTTTTTAATGTCAATTTTTGTTTCATAAGATGGTATCCAGCACGACTTCTAGCAGTGCAACTTCAAGCCAAAGAATGCAAAGTTCAACGCAACGGCTTCAGCACATGGCTGCTTCAGAATTAAAGGCGAGCTCCATGAAGTCGGATCTCAGTGAACTCAAAAGCTCTATTTCAGAGATGAAAAATTTAAGCAGCACAGCAGCAAAGAATTTTGGCCAAAGGTTAGTCATACTAAGAATAAATAAAGAAAGCAAATAGTATATATAAACAAAGTACAATAAATTAAAATAGTAAATAAAAAAAGCAGTTTGGAACATAATGTACTTCTTTGCATTTGTTAATATAGACGGTTGCATGTGAACACGAGAGATACATACACCGTTAGCCACGGACCTGTACGAAGACGAACCAGCTCACCTGAACGACCTTGGCACTTAGCCAATTCCCACCGCTGTTTCTCTATTCTATGTTTGCAGTACAACGCCGACAAACAATAGTAGCACTAGTTTCTGTGCAACCCTTTTAGAAGAAAATTTAATTTATTGATATACATTGAAGTCATTGTTCATTGCGTAAACATTATTTTCAGACTAAGAAGCTCAATGGAGAACATCGTTGATCAAGATGACTTGGGAGACCGAAATTTGCCCGTGATTCGGGACCTTAGTGAAATGGATGACATAGGAGATATTAGTGAAATGAGCGAGCTATCTAATGACGGACCTTTGGTAACTTTCCCTGAATCCGACACTCCACCTCCTATGACCGAAAAACCCTCTTTGCTTTCTGGAAATACTGCTAGAGACATGGTTGGCTCCAATACGGCCAATGAGCTGAAATACAGTGCAGCAAGAATGACATCTGCCAGCTCAACTCGTGTTGTAGCTGATGGATATAGTGCATCGAGGTCGGCATCTAACAGTTCAAGAATGCGTCGTGTCCAGCACGGCGATCTGCAGTATGCGGAACGCAGTGCGGCGAGTGCATCACATCGATTATTGCAAGCAGAAGGCCTGACTGCAGAACAAAATGCAGCATCTCTTCAAGTAAGTACCTAATCTATATTTATAATTTTTTAACATAATACGTTTGCTGTTAATTTCTATTATTAAAATATCATGAAGTTAACTACAACTACATTCGAACGTCTGGTAGTTTCGTCTGTGGAGCCAAAAAGGCGCGTCGAAGGACGTGACCTCGTGTGTACGGGACCGATCGATATCGCAAAGTGCCGCCTTCGCCACACTGAAGCGCGCAGTACTGTAGGATTTCTTGCTACGATAACATCCAGCATGTGAATGTGTTTAAAATCAGGCGATAGTTTGGTCGCGCATGATGGCCGCACGTTTTATCGCTTGGACTGGCAGGATTCTGCGACGTGGAGGATCGCCTGGAGCGGTGAGCTCATTTATCTGCAGGCGCTTATCGCCCGCAATGACTGAACCACGTTTCTGTCAGTTGGTGCCTGATCGTCGTGCGCGCGAACACACGCGGAAGTCAATTATTACGCGTGCGCGCACACAAGTACCCGAATAGTCAATTTTAAATATAGAATCAGAATGTCTACGGGAGGGGGGTCTGTTCCGTGGCCTGTGCATCGCGGCGTCCTATCACGCTTTTATCCGAACTCACAAAATCCTTCGGTGAGAGTACATTTCCTCGGAAAATCACACCTAACCTTTAGAACACGTGAAGGAATAACATAAAGTTAGAGTTAGACACTGAAAGCGCGCGAGTTTCACACGTTTGGCCCAAATCCAATAGGAACACAGGGACGTATAATCCGAGATGTGACGTGGGATTGTTATCGAATATAAACTAAAAGTAGTTTTCAGTTTGTAGAGAGCACATCTCAATATTGTGTAAAATTAAAACTATGTCTTCAAAACGGCGTTCAAGACCTAAATTGCGTATCGCTATTGCCGTAACTATCGTACTACTATTCACATAAAGTTAACACTGTAAGACTAACACGTTCAGTGAATAATTTGGGACATAATTGTTACATTGTGTAATTTCAGGAGCAACGGTCGCTTAAAGCAGGTGAAGTGACAGCACAGGAAGCTAATAACATGTCTGCTACAAGTTCGAGGTTACAAACGGAAGCATTCAGTGCAGAAAAAATGGCAATGGCTTCAGCTCAAGCTCGTCAAACAGTTACCTCAAGTGGGATGTTCAGCCATAAAGAGCACTCCAGTGTAGCTCATTCTAATATGACAATCTCCAAAAATTTATCAACCAAATCAACTCTTCATACTTCTTCTCAGGTATTTATTCTTATTACAGCTTTGACTTGATTTATACAGAAATGCAAAATAGGATAATCTATTTAAGTTGAATAAATAATAACAATATGAGATATATTGTACACGTCACACACGGCCGTCTGATCCCAAACTAGGCAAAGCCAGTACTATGGTAACCAGACTGCTGATAAACATACTTATATATTTTTAAATAGATACATATTATAGATAAATTACACCCAGACACAGAACAAATGACCGTGCTCATTACACAATATTTATCCTGGGTGGGAATCGAACCCACGACCTCCAGTTAAGCAATCAGGGTCACTAACCACTGGACCAATAAGCCTGTCATCAAATATTAAAAATATCAAGAGCGTAGCAGGATCTATCTATATTATTACCTATACATTTACGCAACGCAAGAGACGATACCAAACAATTTTAAAAGAATTTTATGAAATAAATATTTAATCAATATTTTTGAGTTGACTTATATTACGACGTTCAGACGCTTAAGCGAAAAAACCTATGAATACCAAGGTTCTTAGTCATCATAACTACATTATAAATTTTAAAAAGAAATAACTTAATTATAAGCATTACAAAACCTTTATTAAAAATCATTTTTTTAAATTAACTTAATAATTATGTTACAGATGTCTCAATTATTAAACGGAACAATGAAGGCGGGCGATGAAGACCTTTCAAATTTAACTTTCGAAGATTTAGATAATTTAAACGCAACTTCAAATCCAAAGGACGTTGAGATGGCAATTCAAAAATATTCAACTAGAATGAATGCGTTTATAACATCAATCAAAAACAACCAAATAGATATGCAAAACGCCTCAAAACATTTCGATAAGTTAAATGAAATGTTACGGAGAGCTTGGGCAGTGCAAACATATGGTCATGAACTTGGTTATTCCCTATGTAACATATTAAGAGAATCAGGGGGACTTGATATACTTATGACAAACTGTTTAGAGAAGAACAATTCAGAATTACAATTCTCTTCGGCGAAACTACTCGAACAGTGTCTTACCACGGAGAATAGAGCTCATGTTGTAGAAAATGGACTTGACAAAGTAGTGAAAGTGGCATGCTCGTGTACAAAATTTGCAAATTCAGTCGATCATTCCAGAACTGGTACAGGAATATTAGAACACCTATTCAAACACAGTGAAAGTACGTGTGGAGATGTCATTAAGCTGGGAGGTTTGGACGCTGTCTTATTTGAATGTCGAAAAAATGACGTAGAAACGTTAAGGCATTGTGCCACAGCATTGGCCAATTTATCTTTATATGGTGGAGCTGAGAATCAGGAGGCCATGATAAAGAGAAAAGTGCCTATGTGGTTATTCCCTTTAGCATTCCACAATGATGACAACATTAAATACTATGCCTGCTTAGCCATCGCCGTTTTGGTAGCAAATAAGGAAATTGAAGCTGCTGTCTTAAAATCAGGCACACTAGATTTAGTGGAACCATTTGTAACATCACATAATCCGTCAGAATTTGCTCGATCAAATCTTGCACATGCTCACGGTCAAAGTAAAAATTGGCTCCAAAGGTTGGTACCAGTATTAAGTTCAAAGAGAGAAGAAGCTAGGAATTTAGCTGCGTTCCATTTCTGCATGGAGGCGGGAATCAAAAAGCAGCAAGGGAACACCGAAATATTTAGGGAAATAGGTGCGATAGAGTCACTGAAGAAAGTTGCTAGCTGTCCAAATGCTGTAGCGTCTAAATATGCTGCACAAGCCTTACGATTAGTCGGTGAAGAAGTGCCACACAAACTGTCACAGCAGGTTCCACTTTGGTCTATAGAAGATGTGAGGGAATGGGTGAAACAAATTGGTTTCTGTGAATATGCTAACAATTTCTATGAAAGCAAAGTCGATGGAGATTTATTATTACAAATTACGGAGGAAAATCTTAAAGAAGATATTGGTCTGCAAAATGGAATCAGACGTAAGAGGTAAAATTGGTACAAGCTGTTTTTTTTTTTCTTAGTTCAGGTAATTAATATTATTAATCAGTGTTATAAATGAATTTGTGTCAATCTTTACAGATTCACTAGAGAACTTCAACAACTTAAGAAAATGGCAGATTATACTTCACGGGATAGGAGTAGTTTAAATGATTTTTTACAAGGTATAGGACCAGAATATACCATCTATACCTATTCGATGCTAAATGCTGGTGTAGATAAGGAATCAATTCGAGGATTAAGTGATGAGCAATTGGAGAATGAATGCCGCATAGTGAATAGTATACATAGATTAAGAATTTTAAATGCTATTAGAGGTATGTATACAATCGTATTTCATTGTACTCTACATTTCAGTTTGAGAAACTACAAATTAAATTTTAAATTATTTTAAATTGTGTGCATTTTTTTTAGCTTACGAAAATAGTTTACCTAGCAAAGGAGAGGAAAACATGGAAAAAAATCTGGACGTATTTGTCAGTTATCGAAGATCCAATGGTTCTCAATTGGCTAGTTTGTTAAAAGTCCATCTTCAATTGCGAGGTTTTACGGTGTTTATAGATGTAGAACGACTAGAGGCTGGCAAATTCGACAACAACCTCTTACAGAGCATACGTCAGGCAAAACACTTTTTACTTGTACTCACGCCGAATGCGCTTGATAGGTGTATAAGAGATAATGAAAGAAAAGACTGGGTTCACAGAGTAAGTATAGTCTGTAATTAACATTCTTAGATTAAATGTTTAAACTTAAAAATACCGAATTCGGATGCTAAAATTTTGTTATCGTAATAGGTTTATATAATAGTCTCATATTTAACGGCTATTATAATAATCTGTTGGTTTAGGAATTAAAAGTGCGTTTAAAAGCACAGACAGTTCTAATTTGTTTTCCGGTATACTTCTATATCGGTATATTAAATCCGGTAATATTAGTGTTGTGTGGTGTATTGTATTCCTGTAATATTAAAGGAGTATTAATACACAAAATAATATATGAATATGTATTAAGTGTTATTAAGTTATAATAATTATTATAAATTTAAATGACTTTTATTTACAGGAAATTGTGGCAGCTTTACAATCACAATGCAATATTGTACCAATTATAGACAACTTCGAATGGCCTAAAGCTGAAGAACTACCTGAAGATATGAGAGCTGTGTGTCACTTTAACGGCGTTAGATGGATTCATGACTATCAAGATGCATGTGTTGATAAGCTAGAAAGGTAATTACTTGATGCAATATACATATTATTATTATTAATGATACATACATATTGATATAGACAAGCGCAAGAGCACCGAGGAGTCTTCTTCTGAAAATGTAATTGAATGCTCATTTTTTTAAATAAAATTTCTAGCTTCATCCGAGGAAAGTCAAATCTTGCGAACCGTCTAGATGGACCGTTAAGAGGTCGAGGTGAAGTACAAACACCAGGAACTGCTACTATTGGACGAGGACCACCCATATATCAACGTATGGCCTCGTGCGAAAGTAGAGGGAGCGATAAAGCAGATTGACTAGAGCCGCTCATACACACACTGCCACCTGTTAGGTAAAGTTTTTTTAATAACTGGACTTCCTTAGTGATATCAACTTAATGTAATAATACCAGCGCATGAACAAAATATTAATTCCAGCATTAAGCAAATCTAATAAATTTCTCAGACGACAAAATATCTTTCTTGCACCATATTTGTACAATAAGTTGAACACAATATTAAATATTTTCTCCAAAACGACATATATGTAAGTGTAAATCTGCTATCCACTCACACAGACATAGACACAGAATCACTTTTCAGTATTGTTAAGTGACGCAAACCTCACACAAAACAACAACATCACTTACACACACGCACGCACAAACAATCACACACACACACATTACGACCAAATTAATCTCGCGGGTGTGAATCCTGGAGTCCTGAAATACAGGTATTGACCTAGTTTAGGCTCCAGTCCACCCAAAACTACGTCTTTTATCTTTCTATCTATATATATCTATTTCTATTTCTTTTATCATTGTACATTGTGTTGTTTGTGGTGGAAATAAAATATATAATTTTTAATGATATACGTATTTACATTTCAGACCACGAAGAAATCGCCAATCCTCCTCCCTGGGAAAAGCTTTATCAACTACGTCTCAAAGCTGCGAACAATTGCCCACTAGTTCTAAGAACACATCGCCTGACAAATCACTATTCAGTCTGCCTGAACGTTTATCAGAAAGTAGTGATAACATAGACTCTGAGATAGAGAAATCTTCACGCAGATGCCGTAGCTGTGAAGGTATATTAGAAGCCGAGGAACAAACACACACACAACTATCTTTGCCCACGCCTATTGAAGCTGCCACACAAACAAAGAGGAAAAGAAACTTCATGGACAGATGCGTGAACAAAGTGAGACTGTGTTAATTGTAATTCGTGTAACAAGGTGTCGAAGGAGACAGGACCAGCTGCAGAGTGTGTATGAACAGTGTCTGCCATATTGGACTCTAATTGCATATTATATTTATGTGAATCTAATTTTAAAGTACAAACATGTGCACAATGTGTATATATTTTGTGGATGGCTATAGTTTAAAGTGTAAATGTGTTTTTGCACATTATTGTTAATGTAATAAGATGGTAATCTCAATGAGTGCTTGTAAACTTTACTTTACTGCTGTTAAGTGAGAAGTTATTGCTACCCTGCTGTGTTTTAAGAACATAGCACGAGGTGGTAATACTAGTAATTGATTAGGACAGTTTGCTAGTAGTACTTAGTACGGCAAATTGCTTATCTTTTCTTTGACTTGGGTAGGAATATACATATTTTCTCTCTCTATCCCTTCACTCTCTATACATAGCTTATACAATGACTTTGTCTTAGTTTACATTGTATTAAAATTTGTATCTTGCCAATAAAGTATTTTAAAAAGCAATATAATACGAAATTATAATTCACTGTCACACAAGTGATAGCTGAGATCTTTAATTTATAAAATATTTCTTTCCATAAATTTAATCTTGCTAGTACCTTATTTATTTGTGCATACAATATATTATCCAATTCGAGTAATATTTGTTACTTGCAAACTGTACAAATTTTTTATTATAAAGATAGTTTTATTTAGTAATTTTATGAGTTAACCATAATATAAAAAAATGTACTCTGTCAAATCCCTACTGTATTTATGTAGTAGCTTAGTTCTAACCATAAAATAAATGGCATCATTAATTCCTTGGTAATTTTCATTGTAAGTACCTACTGAATCATTTATATACAAGTGTCCATAAATTCAACTATAAGCCGTCACCAGATTGGTGGATCTGCTTATGACTACTCCAAAAAAAGTATTTTTTTTTTTTACAAAAAAAAATTGTTAACTAGAAAATTTACTAACAATTTTTAACTATCATGAACACAGGTTTTCAAGTAATTCTATTTTTTTTTTGTTTTGGCAACCTGAATAGTAACTGCTATCCATCACAATTCTAAAAATCTCAGAAAGCCCACTTTTTACACAAAAATAAATCAAAATAATTATTTTTCAAAAAAAAACTATTTATGGCAAGCTTTTTCGAACCAAGATTCAAAAATGGTATAAAACTAGAAAAAATAGCCACAAAAAGTATGCAGACAATTTTTAAATTTAAAGGGTCTAGTACCCTAAAAAGGGATGAAGTTAGTATAGGGAACTATATTTTTTTAACTTATCGATTCCAAACTCTCAGTAAAATTATAATTTTTTATCAATATAATTATTACAGACATATTTTTTTAACTTATAAAAACGTAAGTAGGCTTTCGGGATCTGGACGAGATTTGGCACATAGATAGATTATATCCTAGAATAGCACAAAGGCTACTATTTATCGCGGTCATAGTTATTGACAAAATTGACATATACGCGAGCGAAGCCATGGGCAAAAGCTACTTAAATAGAAGATTTGCATATAATGCACATTATTTATATATTATCTGTAATAGCATGTAGTGTAAAGCCCTAATACAAGTAGAATTGGTAATGTATTGAAGCTCATCTTAAATTACTGATACTTAAGTACCTACTGATACTATCTTCAAGATCTTTCTTAATGGCTCTTAGCCATTCCACACGGCGTATTTTAATCGCGCCGACGACACGCAGATGAAGCGCATTTATACGTTTTAATAATGTAACCTCTCTATAAAAAAATATCAACCCCCACTCGACGGCCGAGCGAGAGAGCGAGAGATCCTCCCCGATGTCTGCAGTGAGAGCCCAACGCTGCGTCGCCATTGTCTTGAATAGTTTTCTCCCTTAGTTGGCCTTAAGACACCCTCAGGATGAACAGGGGTGGTGACATTCCGTATTCTTAATGTGTGGATGATGATGCGGGTGGTAAACGGCTGCTAAACATACTTAAATATATTCCTAAATACATAAACATTATAGATACATTACACCCAGATACAAAACAAATAATCGTGCTCATCACACAAACATTTATCCTGGGTGGGAATCAAACACATGAACTGCGGCTTAGCAATCAGGGTCATTAGAGCAATAGGCCGGTCAAAGTAAATGTAATGAATGAAAGTGAATGTGAGTGAAAAAATGAAAAAATAGATGTTTTATGAATTATCTATTCATTTTTTCACTAAGTGATGATAAGTGACAAAGATGCTTACACTTGCTATGGAGATCGGTGGAAATCGTAGTTGTTCATACTTTCTCAAACAAAGAAAGTTTGTTAAGAAAGTCTCGAGTGCTTCCATCTTCTCTAGGTCCGTTTTAAAGTGGTAATCTATACTGCTCTTCAATGGAAAGTGCAAGGGACTATTTGAAAACTGAAAAGGGTATGCCAAGGAGATTTGGGCACATGGAAGAAATGAGTGTGGCACAACTGACAAGAAGTACATAAATCAAATGTGAGAGATAATGTCAAATCTATTGTCGATATTTCATCTATTAATGATTAGTAGTAGTAGTAAACACACAAGGCAAACAATAACATAATAAAAAAAGGAAGAGCTAAAGATTCAATAATATTTTCATTCGACTGGAGCTGTGATTTGGCGGATCAACATCTACCCAACTACGGAGAGCGGCCCAATTTATGGCACTAGAATAGGGAACTTGTATAAATCAGATAAAATCACACCTTGTTACAAAACTTACAAGAGAAAATGAAACAATTTGATCAATTTCATATTCATATTGTAATATCAAAAAATTAAAAAAATTGATTTTAATCTTATGTGATGGTAATGTAAGCTAATGCGTGTCTATGTTCATATAAATGAATAAACTAACGGGTGCGGCACCACAAATTCTAACAAAACTAATAATCTCGGGCGCCAGGTGCCTTAACCTTAAATGAACACAGACAACTAATAACAAATACAATAATTACCTCGAACAGCTCGGTCAGCGCCTAGACCTTTAATCCAGGGTGGGGGGTAGCTATTAAATAAAGAGATGTTATAAGCTTAAGTGGCAGTTTATTATCCCGTAGTGTCTGTAGAGTACATGGTATATTATAGGTCTAATTACTAATGTAATTCTTATACTCAAATTAGTACTGTCATTAATGCAATCTGTTTACCTTGCTAATACAAATTAAAAGTAAAATAACTTTAAAAAGTCACATAAAGACTGTTTAACAAATAAAGAACTAAGGGTAGTTATCATAACGACCTTATGACAACGCCAACAAAATTAATACAACAAAGAAACATATCAAATGACTGCGGCACTGTCTGTTTGAAACTATGGTATAATTAACGCTTATAAAACTCACTCGTGCTCCCACGTGGTTGTAGTGGCGGGGTAAGTAATCCAAGCTTCCTGATTCCGGTCCCAAGCGAATCCTGATAATGGGCTACAGTCAGAGGACTTTTCCTGCCATTAGAGGTACTTAGGAAAGGAAATCCACTCTCCGAAGCAAACTAAATCCTTGGATCAGGCAGGTAGTGAGGTAAAAACTAATTGTAACGTAAGGACATTACAATCTAATAAGAAGGAAAGCCAAACTAATAAAAAGAACCCTCTTACACTGCAACAAACGAAAGTTAGAGGTTAAATCCCTATCTCCAATGATGAAGTCTAGGTCTGGTAAGATACAATAATTTACTCACCAGGGTTCCAAATCGTCTCACAAATAAATCAGAGGCATTACTAATAATTCCTGTAACCAAATAATCAAAGATTTAGAACACCAGTCGCCATAAGCCAAGTACGGAACACGTGTCGGATCAAAACTTAACAAAAAAGGTAAAATAACATTTTCAATTAACATCCCGTGGGTGTCGTAAGAGCCGACTAAGGGAGCTAACTACTTAGAACATCACTGCAAAGAGAAGGAAAACTTGACACAAGCCCATTTTTTTTTTTTTAAAGTGTGGAAATCCCCTCGGACCGTCACCCCTCAGGGGTTTGCGGAGGGGTGGTGTGTCGGACTCGGACCGACTAAAACCACACGGTGTGCCACTCTGCGCCTGTAACAGGAGGGATCCGGGAACAGCTGTTATTAAGACATCCGGCGGCGGCGTCCGGCACACGCGGACGCCGCCCCCTCGCGGCTGGCCAAACTAATGCGGGTGGAGGGGAAACCCACCCCGTCCACCCGCGGCCACACTCAGGGCGGCATGAGGCGGTGATAGACGCGCCTCCGCCGCCCGGTTCGCCGGCGGCGGATCGGGTTCGAGTGGAGGTCGTCCTCCCGGCCTTCTCCGCCGCCTCCTTCTGCGAGATTACTTCCTCGCAGAAGGTTGCGACCGCGGTAAAACAACTGTCGCTACCGGCCATGGAGCGTACTACGGCCGGTAGCGAGAGATCCACTCCGATGACTGCAGTGAGGGCCCGGCGCTGCGTCGCCCATGCGGGGCAGACCTCTAGCGTGTGCTGGGCCGAGTCCTCACTGCAGTCGCAGTGGTGGCAGGCGGGACTCAGTTCCCTCCTAGCGACCGAGTGCAGGTACTTTCCGAAGCAACCGTGCCCGGAAAGCACCTGCGTCAGCCGGAAGGAAAGGGTCCCGTGCTGCCGCCCTGCCCACTCGGCGATGACCGGCTGGAGAGCCTCCACGGCGGCGAAGCCAGCGCGTGGAGTCTCCAGCCGGAACGACCAACGAGCCATCGTGGCTCGGCGAGCGGCTTCGCGCCACTCGCGCACATCCTCGGGCGGAGGGCGAAATCCGCTCTCCGCCCGAGAGTCAGCCACTCGCCGATAAACTTCGGCGAGCACTTCCGCCTCCAAATCCCACGGGGGAGTTCCGGCCAACGCGCATGCCACCTCCGTCGAAACGGTGCGGTAACCGCGTATGGCTCTGACTGCCATTACCCTCTGAGGGCGCCAGAGGCGTGCCCTATTCTCATTGACCGGACAACCCCCGTGTACAGCCGTCTTGTCGCGACGCTGGGTCCACCCAAATTGGGCAAAACTCGCCCT